GCATTTGTCAAATAAAAATTATTTTGGTATTTCCATTCAAACTAAAACAAATCTAAGTTACTTTTCATTAGATGTAAACCATGTGATCTGTTACATCATCTGCCATATAATACAGCATCTCATTAAAGAAAATGAAAGAAAATGCTGGTTCTTTTTTTTTTGTTTTGTTTTTTTTGTTTGTTTTTTTTTTTGCTTTAAAGATCATGTAACATTTGTAACTGAACATTTTTTTATTTTGCTGCTCTGCAGTCCAAAATGAGACTAAAAAGGTTGCAGACCCCTGGTCCAAAAAATTTACTACTACCCCTCACTTAGAATTAATGCTGAATTTGAGAATGTTGAATCTATTACATCTATTTAAATTAATTAAATAGATTTTTTTTTTTATCATGCTCAAACTATCAGAAGTACCCCAACAATTACAGTGTAACTGTTCACTTGTTTTTAGGGGTCCGGATTCAGTGAGTCAAGGACTCCTCTTTCCTCTTCTGTATGTGTCAACAATAATTGCAGCTTTTTTGTCATCTCCTGTGTGGATGAAACTAAAATGCTACTTTGGCCTCATGCCCAAACTGATGCTTTTTTAAAAAGTGTGGCCTCATTGTACAGTTTACGTCTGGTTGATATTTCAGTTCCTGAAATTGTCTCTCTGTTCCTCACTTTAGTCCCCTCATCAACCATCGTCTTTCTACTCAATTTTCCCTTTTTTTTATCCTCACATTTTTCAACCATCTGTCTCTTTACCAGGCTGTGTTTGATGTGGATAAGACAAAAGGTCTGACTCTGATTGAAATATGGGAGGGACTGAATCCTGAGGACATCAAGGCATGTACCGGCACAGATTTTGAGGTGAGTGCCATAACCGTTCAGTTATCTACGTTTCTTCACGCTTCCCATTTTAGATTGTGTTTAAAGCGTCAAAATGAATTGATTTTTTTTATTGCTGCTAGGTATTATCAGACTGAAATTATTTTGACTACATTTATGAAAGATGTTCAAACGTTAATAACTTATTTCTTATGTTAAGAAATAAGTTCTTAAAATCAACTGTAGCAGAAATATTAGTAATCCTGCTGTTAAAGCACAGCTTCTCGAGAATGTTAAACTGGTGTGCTCCCACAGTAGGCAAGTTAATCCAAATTTGTATGGGTAATCAAATCCTGGACATCAAATGTCAATTTGTTTGAATATTTTTTACACATCTTCACCAAATATCAATAAGCATTTTTTTTTTGTGTTCCTCTCCAGGTGTCTTCCAACCTGAGGCCTATGCAGCAGATTTAAAAGCGTTTCAAGGTGTTTTAAGATGTTTTTTGACTTGAAAGTTACTCTGTGATAAAAAACTGCCATTAACTGAGGATGTTCTGTGTCAACTAAGGTTACAAAACATACATCTGGTTCAGTTCTCTGGCAATGACTGTTCAAATATCAGAAATTACTCAGCATCACTAACTAAGGAATAGGACTCAACTGGAGTCATTGTGCATGATTCTTATGGCGTGATGTGGATATTTCACTGTTGGGGTAATAATTACATGTGTGCAGCTGTAACCAAAATGTTCCTTTAAAATGTTCTTGAAATAATTTGTAAGAAGAAAGCACCATCATTACCTTTTAATTAAATTCAGTTAATTAAATACTGTAAGATAGAAACCTGATTATACGGTAACAATATAAAAATTGCAGTACAAAACGGTTTCAGATTATACGATTGCAGATCTGTAAAGTTGTCTATTATGGATATAAGTATGTCACCAGAATTTAAAATAAAAATGCCCCTAGAATTTATATATATATATATATATATATATATATATATATATATATATATATATATATATATATATATATATATATATATATATATATATATATATATATATATATATATATATATATATATATATATATATATATATATATATATAAAACCTCACAATAGCTTAACTAAAAAGCTTAACTAAAAAGTTAAGCTAAAAACATTAAAAATGTGGTCTTTCTGAAATAGAAATGTGAATTTTTAACTTGAAGTGAAAATAAATGAGCCATGTAGAAGTAGTAAAAATGATTCTTTTTTTTAAGTTAAAAATGTATTCTGAGTATATTTTAACACTGAAAAAGTAAGCACAAATATGTAACATTAAAATTTCAGGGGCATTTTCAATTCAAATCCTGGTGACATATTTACTTCCATTGTCTTGTTCAATTAACAAAAGTTTTTTATATTTTGCATTCGCTGATTGAGCCCACCTTTATATTATTCATCTGGAAAATGAAGGATGTATCATAAAATGAGTCTAATCGAGACATATTTGTAATAATCACCTCAAAAATGGAAGGAAATTGTCTGTTTGGTGTGTAACTCAGGCATTTAAAATGAAAACTAAGCCTTTTTTTTTCTACAGATATCTATACAATAAATGAAATAAAGCCTGTTGTGCAGAGTAATGTAAATGAATTAGTCTCTTTTAATATTTTTTTATATTTTCTAAAAGTGAAAAAACAACATGACTTGGACGAGACAGAAAGGAAATGGCACACAGGTTGGCTCTTTCTCCATCAACGTGTTCTTGATGTGATTTCTCTAGTCAACCAAAGATGCACAGCAATTACCTGAGGGCCGTTACATAACCACAGAATTAAGCTAGCGGGTTTCTTGAGCTCCAGGAAGATCAACCAGGTTGGATCATCAAGCAGAAAAATGGAAGAAAGTGACAGAGACTCCTGCTACCGGCTGTTGATGGTAATCCAGCACATCTGTATGAGTCAACTTAAGTGGTTTCCCACAACTCTGCATTTTGCAACCCGTTTCTCATAGTTGGTAAGTGGATTTCAGAAATATGGCTGCATTTAGCTGGAACAAATGTCACTGAACAGCAAAAGTAAACAAGCTCATCTTCTTGGAGTGATTCATCTGAAGTGGTTTTAGTTAGGTAGGAATTCCACGCTGAACAGAAATGACTTTCAGGGGATTTGTTATCAAAATGGATTTGTTGCAACAAATGTTAGAACTGAAGAATTTCTGCTATTTATATTTAAAGTAAAAGGCTAAGCATAACAGTTGTCTTTTACAAAGAAGAATGTGTAAAACATTTGGTGTCAAGATATGCACAGCTGGTTGAACGCAAACAAAACAACTGTATATATTGAGTATTTGCATTTATGTTGCATTCCCAAGCATAACGTATTATGCATTTAAGTACAATATAATATAGCCATACGAGAGATTTTCGTTGATTTATTCTGACATGTTAGCACACTTAGCAAAAATTGCTTTAACACCAACAAGTCAAGATAGTCGCCTGATTTAGTCGTGGGATGTGTTAGTGTTGCAGATTGCATATGAAAAGGATTCAGGTCTATGTTCTCAATCTTTATACCACTGTGACCTATTTTTGTGAATGACTCATGTGAAGGTGCCTTGCCAGCTGATTTTCATCACAGATTATGTCAGTTGCTTAATTCTAAATTGCCTACCCTTGGAAGTCTTAGAGGGAATATGAATGCATTTAAATGAACACCCCTAATATCTTATGAATATGTATAGGAAATTCACAAATGTTTCTTCTTCAGGGAAAAACTGTTTGTTTCTAAAAATTGATTATGTTGCTGCTCTGAGAAAAAGTCTGTTTAAAGCTACCAATCAAGACTTTTCAATAAAAAACAAACAGCGTGTTTATTTTCTGTTAGCAAAAATTGTCATTTTTCATCGCACCAGTGTCACATTCCTGTCATAAGATTCAATCCATATAACACGGTTTAAAATGACAAGAAAAAATTTTTATGAATAAATGGCAATTTAATGAAATTTACTAGTCTATCTACTCAGAATGAGTTCCTTTTGCAAGAATTATTGCAATACCGAATGACTTTCCCCCCGTGTTTTGAACCTTTGCTTCCAAATGAAAGAAAACAAAAACTTAAATTCATCTAAATAAAGGGCTTTAAACAACCATGTACCAGAAAAGTAATTTGGAGTTTCCAAAAGATGTAAGCCATATTAGTGACAATTAACAAGGATAAATATTTTTATTTGCTATATTGCCAAAATTAGTTGCTCATTTCCCTTCATACACATGAACTTGAGTGACATCCCATTTTAATTCTTAGTGTTTGTGTGAAGGAAGGTTTTCCACAATCTTTAAGATTGTGGCATATGTTGGAGTTTGAAACTTTTTAAATGTAGACGCCCATCTATGAGGTCATACTGGTTTTGGACAGCATGGCTTCTGCTGCAATTCATCCCACAATATTTGCAGTAAAACATTGTCTAAAATGTGTCTTTTGCATTATTAAAAAGTTCCTTTACAAGAGATTAAAGGGCTGATGAACTCAACTCCAATCAGCCCCACACCATAAAATCGTCTCCACCAAACTTTACCCTTAACACTGTTGAACCAGGCAGTTGGCTTCTGACAACTACTAAGACGTCCAGTGACTTTTTTATGTAAAGCTTGGATGTAGCTGGAACCCAAACCCAATAAACTCTCTTGGAGCATGAGGTTTGGATGGAGTTCTGTAGATACTGACACTGCAGAAACTCACCGATCATATAGGCCACAACGTCCGCTGATCCTGCTCTGAGATTTTGCATGATCAAGTCCTTGGCTTTTCTTATCTCTGCAGATTGCTATTATGCCACTGACATTTGATTGCATAAAAAATAACAGGGAGGACTTGTTGTACAGGTATCAGGTTGGAATTCACCAAGTTCCCAAGAATCGCCCAGTGATCTACAAATCGTTGATGGAGTCTGCATGACATGTGGAAGTGATGAGAACACCTGTATTCAATGATGTGGATGGATGAGCAATTTTGTTCACTGATTTTAATTGAATTTCTCAATTTACTGTTCGATATTTAGATGGATTAAGATGAAGCTGTTCTTCAGATGTGCTTTTATTGTTTTGTGTTAGGGAGAGCGAATCATCCACTGGACGGTGAATTTCGCGGAAATGTGATTCACTGGTACTACTTGGTGGTTTACTGGACAGCATGCTTGGATCCGATCAACCGCATTTTAACAGAGTTGTTCCATCCTTCCAGTGTTGAACCGGGCGTTGGACACGCTAATGTGTGTGTAAGACAGAGGGGGTTGTGTGGACAGAGAAAGGAAAAGAGAGAGAGAGAGAGAGATCGTGGAAGAGAGCGAGCGCGCAATCCAGGTTGGCGCAGGCACCGGTCCCGGAGAACGGAGCGTTGTGCACGGTGGCAGCATGGCCTCGTCTCACGGGAGAAGCGACTTGCGCTTCGCGGACTGGATGGCAAGTTTACCGCAGAGCATGCACACCGTCCCGCTCGCCAACATGGCTATCCCAGGTAGGTTTGTTATTATGCATTTTCTTTTCACCAGCCCCGTTAAGTCACGCGTGGATAATGGCCATTTGTTTCCATCAGCGCGCGTCTGATCCCGGGCTAATAAGATGACAAAACATCGGTTATTTCTTTTTAACACCGTGGCTTTGAAAACTTCTGTGTTTCACTTTGCCGTTAATTAAAGTCCACTGGGCAGAAATGGGCATGACTTGAACTGTGCATCACTAGAACAAAGGGTGAGACCTGTTGCGCAACAGGATATGTGCCATCTATTTGTTTCACTTCAGCTTCCCCGCGATGTACCTATAAATAGCACACGGGTGACATATCGTTTTTATTTATTTATTTTGCACCCGATGAGTATACAAGAAGCAGAATTGCTGCTCTGTTTTGTGTTTGTAGCGGGGTGGCGCCCAAGAGGGGATGGGATGAGTTCTGTCAGTGCACTCAGATGATGATGGTGCTGATGATAGGAAATGAGCTTTTAGACCTTTAACCAATCAGTGCGCAGGTCTCTTTAACTCCATTCAAATTAAGACACTGGTTGTAAAGCCCAGCTCATATCTGGGGGCTTATTTTTAGGAGCCCATTAATTCAGAAATCTGCTATATTACGACCAAGAACAGCTCTACAGATCCTTCTTTTTTTTCCTCCCTTTTCACCCCATCTCACTGCCGTCTTGCTGCCTTTTGGTTGGACATGAACAATCGCTTGCTTTCTCTTTTTTTCGTAAACGATTTGCATGTAGAATCATTGTTACATGCAGATGGATTAGTGCTCGGTGTCCAATGAGGCGTGGCATTTTTTTTTGAACCAGCAGCGGCCACAGCTCTCAATAATACCTAAAAACCACACGCAATCATGCATTTCTTCATGCATTTAACCTGTCACCAGCAAAGGACAGAGCCAGCAATAACACGCGTGCTTTACATGCAGCTGCATCATAATTTCCCACACCAAAGTAGCGTGAGATCATGTTTTATTTCATTTAATTAGGTGTCATTACTTCTCTGCAGCTCTGCTGCCCTTTGCCTGTCCTCCAATTGGATACGGGATTTGAAAAGGCTCACTTAGTCTGGCTTTTTGCGTTTGTTTGCACACACTTCGCATCATGTTTGCCAAGATAATTCTCAAAAATCCTCAGGATTTTATGAGAGCTTATTTTAGCAGGAACCACGTGTTCCTTTCAGTGTGCAGTTTCTGATTTATTTCAAAGCGCTCATCTGACATCGCTCTCTTTGGTTTCTTCTTGAAATCAATGAGGCTTTGTTGAAGCATGATTGGAACTGGAAACATGACATTTTGATCTTCGATTTAAATATCTTTGTAAGATGTGCTAATTCAGATTTCAACATACTGCTGATGATACATATTCAATTTCCCACTGCTTCAATGGTCCAGGTCAAAACCATTTTTTCCTCCCAAGAAACTCAAAAGGACGCTTGTCTGCGTTCCAAGCACTGCACAGCAGTAAGCTTGTAAATGCCTTCTTTGTGATGTGGAAATTGTTTCTTTTGAGGTATTATGCTGCAGAAGGGATTTTTGCAGAGGAGGGAGAATGCTCTCTGTATGGCTTTATGGCACAATAGATTCTCAGAGAAGCATCAGAGTTTGACTGACGCGCTGCAACAACTGTCAAATGATAGGTTATACCTGGTGCTGTCTCATACGACTTGTGTTATTCTAATCCTGAAAGCAGGTCAAAAGCTGCCATCGCTGTGGTGCAGTGAACATCCACCCCTGTCTGAATGATTTGCTGATTAAATGGTCCATCTGCTGGTTGCTCTTCTTGTGCTTCTTGTTGGCTTGTTTTAATTTTAAATAATCAATCTTGAAATGGCACACTCAAAAGATTAAGAGGTTAATAATAGGCAAATGGAAAATCACTTCAGTTGATAATTGAGCCTGAGGTGGTGGCTGTGGTGATGCAGCAGCTAATCTCAAAGTGACCTAGTGCTACACACTAGCTACAGTGAATCTCGCTTTTTATGTGTGCAGATATTTAAAGTAACTGGAAAAAATGCAAAAAACAAAGACACATGAAGCGTATTGTCCACACATACGCTGATGAGGCATTACATTATGACTGACTGTTTAATAGTGAACTTGTCCTTTTATTTGCTGCCAAATCAGCACGGATCCATAGACGTAAACCTCAATAGACCTCTGAATGTTTGCTGTGGCATCTGCTACCTAGGTCTTGGTAACAAATTTGTATAACCTCTTATTGTTGTGAGGTGGATCCTGTATTTGTAACAGATTCTCGACTGGATTGAAATCTGAGACAAGTTAACCAATCCTTGTTTAAATTCTCACTTAATTCCCAAACCTTTTGTTGCTTCAAAGTACTTTTTAGATGTATTTTGCGGAAAGAGGCCACAGTCATCAGAGAATACATTTCTTTGAATGATTGCACATATTCTGTAATGCTTAGACAAGTCATTTACGTCAAATTAATATTATGATGGATGACAGAATAAAAGTTTTCTCAGGAGAATATTGCTCAAACCATCATGCTGCTTCCACCAGTTTGTCTGGTTCCCATAATGCATTCGCAGGTAGAGGAAACACACCTGGTCATCCATAATTCATCAGGCTACAGATCCATTGCTCTTTGGTTTTTTTTCCGATGCTGATGCACCAATTGCTGTTATTTTTGGTAGTAAACTTGTATCAGCAGAGATGCCCTGTTGCATCAGGACCCATGTGTTTTAGCTGTCTGTTGGATTAGATTATGTAGCCATTGCTCCGTACATGCATCAACAGTCCTACGGCCTTTCTTGAAACTCTTGATGGATTCTGACGTCTGTAGACTAAGAACACTCAGGTTTTGTTACACACTCGAGTGTGGTAGAACCAAACATTTCTTTTAAGTCTGACTACTTAGGTCACCCTCTGTTTTTGGAAATTGTTTGACTGATTTATTTTTGCAGTAACATTGGTTGTTCAACGCTTCAGTATTTTATTTGACCGAGAAAAGCTGCTTGCAGCCAAAGAGACAACACTACTGTTTTTTCTTGGATGCTCAGTGTCAAATGCACTCTGTTTGAACTGTAAGTAATTCCTTCGTCCTCACACTCAGCGCCCGAGAAAAGTTAGGTCACCTACTAGAGGCTTTTATGTTGTACACATCTAAACAACAATAGTGTTTTATTAACGCGTGCAAACCGGACTTATCAAATTTTGAGCCATGAAGAAAAACAATAAAAAGTGTAACTTATTCATCAAACTACATGCGAGACATGACCAACCTACTGTCTCACCAGCAATGAGAGACAGGAATGAGTTACAGTATTCAGAACACAAAGTGATAAAAACATATATCCTGTAATCAGCAAAGATGGTTTTATTACATTAAATTAAGTGCTGTCAGTTGACCCATAAATAGATTTAATTTGGTTAATCATGTTCGAGATGTGAGCTTAATTCAGAAAGCTTAGAGGTGATGAACTATGAAAGTTTTTTTCTTAATTTATTCTATTTTCTCCCAAATAAAGTCTTTATATCTCAATTTATTGCAAATGTGTAGTTATTTCAGAATCGCTATGTGCAATATTCATATAACAAAGGACAGTTCGTATTATTATTATTTTTTGCTGTCCCCTAATGCATGGTCAGTATGAGGTGTTGCTGAAAGGTTAATGACTCGATTGATTGTGATTGTGATTGTCCACTGTTGCCAGATCCAGAAGAAGTGATTGCAGCGAGTCAGTGACTCACTGCAATCTGTTGGGTTTCCATAGATAGAAAACCTTTTTCAAAAGGACGCCTTTCGAAAAACTCCTTTTAACCAATTGAATAGCAAATATAACTTCACTGCATTGTTTGAAAACTATAATGAATTTGGAATGCATCTACTCCATCCGTATGATTGGATTAAAGACACTTTTTTTTTGTAAAAAATGATAGGTTATACCTATCAAGACAATATTGGAATTGGTGCTACGTAAATAGACTGAGAAATACTTAATTGAAATAATCTCTGAGCGAGTTTACATTTGTTGCAGTTCAATAATATATTTCCAAGATAAAAAGACCAAAATGGCGAAAAAGTTATTCATATTTCATAGAAAATTAGCTCTTTTGAAGCTGACCGAATAAACAGCCGACCAACTGCTGTGCTAACTACAGCTTTTGTTTTATCATTGACTTTGTTGTATTACACCTCACTGCAAAACTCACTCTTTTTCCTGCATGAACAACTTCCACACTGAAGTAAAGAGTAACGTTGATACTGCAACATATTGTGACATGTAGATATTATGCGTTCAGTTATTTGAAAAGGATTCGATTCTTCTGATTTTAACCGGCTAGTCTCTGATCAGGAGTGGTGAAGCCTAGAATAGTGTTTTTCCAACGACTAGCCGATTTCTGAGTGTATTTTGTTTTGTGCTGTTATTAAAAAATCTTCTAAGGTGTGTAGAACAAAATGAAACAATCATTTTGTTCTACATTACAGGAAAGCTATGGGAATCATGCTGTGTAATATCCAGAATATGGTTAGAACGGTCCATAAGTAAGAGTTTACTATTTTTGTCTATAGGATTGGGTCCAACTGTTTTTAAAATAGCAGGATTTCTGCAGTGCCCAAAGACACCAGTGACTCATTTGTCACCTAGAGGAGAATTGACTCAGTGCTGTTGTGAAACTTGATTGAAAATGGGCCAGGAAAAAAAAAAGGAGTTAAAGAGGAACAGCTTTTTCTAGGCACAACTATAAAAAAACAACACAATTTTGAGATTGGAAGATTTTGAGTAGCATCTATTCAGAATAGGTAGTATACATAATGTCAGCGAGGAGCATTAATATTGACAGATAATTTATTATTTACATCATTCTGATACTGAGTTTTATTAAATCATATAAAATAAAATGCTGTGACTCATAACTTGACTCAGCAACATTGGTTTTGTGTTTTTTCTAATATAACATCTACATATCTCCATAAGCATTCTGCTGCTTTTCTATTTCTCCCGCCTACCACTAACACGTCAGTGTTGGTC